TCTGCAGCGAAATCCAAATCCTTCCCTGGAGTCCACTCATCGGTCCAGTTAGCGTGTGCCCATCTCGCCCCCCACAGTTGCCTGTTGCATGGTCCAGCCCGATCCACCATAACACGGTCAGAAAAATCATCGGTGATGATTGTGAGCAACCTTGTCTTACCCCTATCTCTACTTCAAAAACGTCACTGAGCTCTCTATTGGGAACCACTTCGCACATTGCCTCATATAGCATTTAGCTGTTGAATAAGGCCGACAAAGGCTTGTGGCACTAGAACCGTAGTGTTGAACAGCTGCCAGCTAAATTGCTTTTCGGTCGACGCTGCCGAAGGCCTTTTCAAAATCGATGAAGTTGAGGTTGAGTTGACTGTCATTCTATGCTCCTTTTCCACGATAATGTGTAGCGTAGCGTTGCATGTTGATCCGCACACGATTTGTTTTTCATGAACCCAGCCTGTTCCGGTCATAATTTTGGATCCAGAGCATCGTTTAGTCTCTCTGGGATGACGCAGCTCAATATCTTGCTGCGGGTGAGCACACCAAGACGGGGATGCCGGAAGTACCGGAAAATGGCGGCCTTCCAGTCCAGTGAGGACTGGTAGACAGAATCCGATGCAGTAAAACACCATCCTTCTCACAAGTTGCCCGTATGACACTAGGCCTGGGAAGCAGCTTTTTGAGATGCTTGGACAGCAGTGTAAGAGGTCTAAGAAGTGGACTGCTGGGGCCAAGATCAGTGATCTATAATCTGCATGCAGATGCGGCTTTTATGACGGAGATGTGGCTGTCACCAGACATCATGGGCAAGGAAATATCTTTACCTACGATGATTTCATACCAACGGACACCCAGCCAAAAAAGGTTAGGGAGTATTCATGCGCATTAACACGCACCCAAAAGTCTAAGGGACGACTGATGGTGTGCCTAGCCAGCTGCCATTGTCAGTTTGATGGCACTTGTGAACTGGCTCCATACATCTCATTTTTTAAAGTTCAGAATGGCATATTCATTTATTTATGGCGCTGTTCTACTATCAAGCAAACGAAGTACCTGTAAGCAGTAGCATGTGGGCCCCCTTCATGCACAACAAAACATAAAGCATAACTGCTCGGCGACACTTCAACGACCATGTTGGCTGCCTATGACCAAGTGGTGCTTGCTGGAGGTTCCAACACATTGGCACTTAGCCCGGGATTTTAAGTAAGCTATGCACACAAATCCTTTGAACATAGACTTCGAAACATAATCATGGCGGCAGGATTATTGGAGAAAGCTAAGGGAAATACAGGGTGGGGACCAAATGGAAAAGGATCACCGCCTGGTTACCTTCTAATGGATGATGATTTTTCGGTGGACGATATCTGTGTCAAACCCTTCTGGGCAAAAACGATCGCTCATTGGTGAGATTTTCTCTGATAATCAAGGAGGGACTTCCAGCAGTTTAGCCAAAAGCGTTTCGCTGTTAACGAAAGGCAGGCTATTACCTCACAAACGACTAACTTCTAGAAGTTCTACGCCTGCAAGAATGGCACTCGCTATGGACGAACGTCGTGCATGCACCACAGGCAGCTAAAAACTCGTTATCTGTCTTTCTTTTGACTGAAAATTTTCCTCGCTGCCTCAGTTTCCTATTGTGGGAAGCTGTACTACTGACAGCAAGGCATTGTTTTACCGTTCCCGAAATTTTGCTTTGGCTCAACTTAAAGTCGCGCTGTGATTTGCTTGCCCGTTTTTTGACTGTCTACTGTGAGCGTCTGTTGATCAATCCGATTCTTGTGGACATGGTCTTGGTCCAATTTTGTTGGAAATATTCTTATTGATTCTCCGACACTTGACAAGTGTATCTGGCTAGCCAATTTTCTCCTGCCAGAATGCTTTTTGAAGAGTATAGTTGCCCGGTGGCACTCTTGAGGCATCTTTGTAATTCTGGTACAACTTGTTGTTTCCTGGTACCCTAGATTCACAATGAACCTATCACAGATTTACTGCAAATCGTGTTTTAACACTGCTGAACTGGCCTTCGACCGTGTGTGACTCACAGAAGTTCAGGAACTATACAGTAGAACGCAGGAAATGATTTGGATAGCGTTAGTTTGGTCCCTCTGAATTATTTCCTGCTTTCGGACCGAAATAAGTGGATTTTGGTCGCCACAATAGGTGCTTGCAGTGGTAGATACAGGTACCAGAGCAACCTGGCTAAGCAGCTAAGTTACATTCCGGAATGCCTATTTCGGTTTATGTCTCAACGAAAACCGGCAAACAACGGTTTGAAACTGATCAAAGGGCAGACCACAGAACCCCTGAATAGCACCGAGATAGATGAGCGGCTGGACACACGGGGGCGTCAAACCAAGTGTCTGGGAAGCTATCGAATTCCCGGGCTGTGACAAAATAAGACCATTGATCCCGTGGAATTTCTGAAGCGATAGGCATACGTATATGCAACCTGTTCACGCACTCTGGAAGTGAGCTAACTCCTTAAGGGATGGAAGCCTGCTATCCTTACCCCTGTCTCCAGGGAGGGGACGCAGAAAACCAGTACAATGTCATTACTTCCCATACTATCCAAGGCACCGGAAATCTTGCTTGTTCAGGACTACTCAAACGGGAATATTATTCACCCTACCCAACAAGTCTTCAGAACCAGACAGTAGTATGCCACAAACTTGATGGCCGCTTGGGACGGGCGGACCACCAGATGAGACGACAAGCAACTAGTCACGTTATATTTCTGAACTTCTCCAAAGCTTTCGATCGCGTCCCTCACTAAACCATGGTCGTTAAGCTTACAGAAGTGGGAGTCATTGAAGCGCTCAGCCTGGTTTACAGCGCACCTCGAGGACAGTGAATTCCTTGGCAAGACAAACAGAATTCCATCAACCTGGAGGAGCGCAAGTAAAGGAGTTTCTCAGGGAGCCACTCCTAGGCCCCATTATTATGGCAGCCCATCAATAACCTTCCCGCCAAGACCCCCTCGTCTACTTTCCTATTCGCTGACGACGCCAAAAAATAGAGGACAATGGGCAGAGAAGAGGATCCTTGACGCCCTAAGATGCTCTGCTGCAGCTGCAGTCTTGGTCGGCTGTAAGTATTTTGAGCTTTAATTTTCAGAAATGCAAGGTGATGTATCTCTGCACGTCAGAAGGGGTTAAAATCAACAATCAGCGTGGCATCCCAAGAGAAGGACCTAGGGCTAAACGTTTTTGTCACACTGGACACTAACGACGATTATAAAAGAATAGCAGCAGAGGCGGACGCCATCTACCAATTTCTAAGAGGGCAGCTCGGAGCGCTTACTCCAGAATTATTCCTTATGGTATTTTAAACCTATGTTAGATGACACCCAAGAGCATTCAGCACGGTAACCAGGCCCCTCTCTGCTAGAAAGAGAAGCGAATACCCTCTATAGGGTATACAGAAGGGCGATAAGATCGGTTGTAGACGAAATATGTGCACAACACATTAGAAAACTGGGCCTGTTGACATCAAGCTATCAAAGGAAAAGAGGTGACCTGACAACGACTTACGAGATCATTCACCGAGTGGACAAACCAAAAAAACCAACATTACCGGCCCTAGGCCGACGGCCTCGCGGGAACCTTATTCGCACTCCCCACCATACGACAAGGATGAGAGGGAGATCAACCTTTCTCTCAATTAAAGTATGTGCCTTATGGAACGCTTTGCCGAGAAAGGTAGCCACAACTACATCAGTGGGCTCCTTCAAACGACTGCCGGATAAGCAACTGGGTACAAACGGCTTACCACGAATATTTGTCGGCAGTAACTGAAGGTATGCACTTTCATCCCTGTGTTCACCAACCCTAGTGTCCACAATATGACGCATTACGTCCCCAGTTACACTTATTATCGCATGACTGCTTTTCATTCCCCCTTTTCCTATTCCCCACTCGCCCTATTTCTAGCGCTTTTCAAGCAACTCCTAGTGCTCACCTACGGGTGCTCACAAAATGGGATTCGCGAGAGGTTAATCAATCCTTCGCAGCTCCATCCCCCCTCCTCAAAACCAGCCAAACTACAATTTGTAAGAAAAAATACTTTCAAATAGACAACCACCACCTACTAACCTGTAAGCAGGAAAAAAGTAAAGGCCTCTACAACAACTGCTGAGGTAGCACCGAATAAAAAAAACCGAGCATGAAGACCTAGAAGTGAGAGCTCAAAAACTGAAAAGTTCCTCAACTCGTACTATTGATGGTGATGTTGTTGGATATACTGTAGCGCCACACACTTCTCCAGAAACAATAGCCTAGGGTTCGAAGAGATTTAACGTTGATGTTGACCTTCATGGTTTGACTTGACTGACTGAGCTGAAGGCACCCGGTAGAACATCCTCGCCATCTGGCATGCCATCGTGTTACGTTGCACTGCTCGCTATCGACCTTCTAGCCAGTTAGTTGAAACGCATCGGTATTTGGGCACGACCTTGCAAAATATTATTCCATCCGGCCACGCTGTTGTGTTCTTTCTCGATCCCGTTTTCGTGTTTATATAACAGGTTCGAGTAACTAGAGATTGGCCTCCGTGTCTGTCAAGTTCACTTCAGGGAAATCCCCAAAATGCTAACGCAAGAAACCAGACCTGTAAAGAACGTCATCAGGCAAATTATCAACAACCGCAGTTTCTAATTGAGGCACCTACGCCATCGCTAATGTAACGCATTCGAAATCCTACTGATTTACCAACGAGTTTCGGTTTCTAGACTGCCTCACCTCTTTCTTGTTAGCCTCTACCGTTTAACAGTTACCTTTTGCTATGAAACGTAAGTGCATCCTATGGATTTGCTGAGTCGTCGGTGGACCCTTCTCTCTTCCTGCTTTCCCTTCCATACCCTTGTGACCACCATTAGACTCACAATTTTCTGCGCACCCTACCTGCCTATCTATTAACAGGCTAGACGAAAGCGTATCAACAGTTGGTCGTTACACTTCTACAAAAACCCAATTCGGTTAGGTAACCACTTTTTACGAAGCGCGCGTACTATTTCGAAAGCGTTACAGTTGAGCTGAAGGGCTTGGTTTGTTGCTGATGCATTAATCACAGTACGTATGCACTCTCATATATACGCCAGTGGTAAATATAAAAATTTCTGCTTTCGAATTTTGACTGTCCAAGGTTACTCCGTTGGCCGTTGCGTAGTAGTCCTTCTTCTTTTGGATTTTACCTCTTCACTTGTATAAAACCCTAATTTGCATCCCACTGATTTTAATTTCGTGGTTTTCAAATTATTTTTTCGTAGTTTTTTTTCTTGATTGTTGGCCGTGATTGCCGTTCCTTATCTACTTCAAAAGTCAAGGTGATACATTTATTTTTTATTCTTGGTAATCGCCATATTCTTTCAGTTCTTTGTATGCTTTCACCTTGTTTTTCTTTTAAAAAAGCCTATTTGGTAGCAAAACATCGTTTCGATTTTCGTTTTTGAATTAATTAGGCGTTGTGAGGTACATTTACGGCATAAGACGCTACACTGTATTCGGGTTGACCTACAGATTCCACTTAAACTAGAGGTTCGAGTAATCGACTTTGCGCAAGAAGAAGATTTTATCCTGCTAGCAATCTAAAGCCCTATCAGGAAAATTAGGAGGTTAATCGTGCGACAAATAGCGTGTAAATAGAAGCCTACTGAACACAATCTTGCAAACCCCCTGCTTTGACAACCTTGCTTCATGTTTACTTCTACATTCACGCTTTAAGAAGCATTATTCACTCCATCTCCGTTTCGTTACTCTGAATCTGCTTTTTGGTAACTTTACCTGCTATTTAAATCGGCTTCCCCTGAGTTTCCATTTCGTTCTCGTTTATTCCACTCCGTATTCAATGGCTCTACCTAAGTTTAGGTCTCTCCCTATTTGTTTGTAATTGGAATATTTTCTTTGTCTGTTAGCCTACTGTAAAGAATAGTCACCTGTTAACAAATTAGATGTTTCTGGGATATGATTATATCAATGGTTATGTATAAAAGAAGTAACTACCGTGGAATAAAACATTTTGAAAACTTAACTACAAAGTAATAATCATGTATAGATATCGTAGTATTGGTCTATTTATCCAGTGTAATCAATGTCTATGCTAATAAGATTGCTTTGCGACCGACCACACTCATTGATGAAAGTATATCATGATGTGTGCAACGTTTTTAAGCTTATTTATTACGCGCGGTTTATGTTTGCTGATCCCATTTTTGTGGTTCCTGGGGTCGTAAAACAAGGAACTGATGAAAAAGTCTGTCTCCTTTAATCCTGACCTATGAAAGTTGTACATCGAATTCGTTAACCAGCAGCTTATTCACTTAATTACCATTTTAAGCGCATACGGCTGTAGTGGAATTTCGTCCCGTGAGCACTCTATGCTGCGTTTGCCGAGTGTCTTTAAGATGTTAGGACATTCTAGGAGCTTTCCCAGCCTGCCGTCTTCCTCGGGTACTGTGGGACTAAAAATGTATTTCAAGAATGTGGTCATGCACTAGAAAATGGGATTTTCAGTATGCGAAGTCCAAACATTTGATAAGAACTGCTTATAGAACTCACTAAACTGGAGGTTCTCTCCATGAACTACTGAGTGACTAAGTTGTAGCAATAAATTACAGGTTAACAACTAAAATGACTTCGTAAACAGATTTTAGATCAATGAAAAAGCTTAGTACGTGCATGAATTTGAGGATTTCAGTGATTTTTCACGCAATGTTTTTGTCTAACAGCGTTAATAGCAGGTTTCATCAGCACCTTAAGTCGCGTTGCTTAGTAAGTGCCGTTTGACATTTCTGTATGTGTGCAGAGACTTTGTTAGTGATCATTGCATCAAGATCACTATAATTCTGACGTCAAGCTGTGTTACAGGCTTCATAGATATAGATCCCTCTTATGGGCCTAAAAGTGGGTCTGGCTTGGCACGTTGCATAAATATGTATGTGGTAGCTGGATGGGATTAACTGATCACTTACCATGGATAAGCTTTCACTAGAAATTTTCAGAAGACGTTATCTGTTTGAGTACTTTCATGTCAGACAGTAAGAGATCAGGTCACAAAGGATTTCAAAGATGTTGCAGCCAAGTGCGGAATTAGTGGTTTAGAAAAATATTAAAACTTCCAGTAAATTGTATCCATTATTTTGGTATTTGTATACTCCTATCTTGATTTGTGTTCCATTCACTGAAAAATTGAAAACCAAAATAATGTTTTCAAGAGTTGTAAAAATGCCCTGATTATGCACTTGATGTTGATCATGTATTAAAATGATAAAAATATGCTGTGAGCACTGCTTATTGTTATCAGCTCAGACAGTTATTCTTGGGCCATTGCATGACTGTGTTCGTGCGCCAATTCTTCTGTTGCTACGATGTGCCTTCGTGTCTTAAAACGATCAGCCACTGAGGTCACTCTTGAGAGACTATACTCAACTGCCACACGATAACACTACCCAACTAACTTTTTTAGTATCGAGTGGAAACAGCTTATCAAAGCCTATTGTAATAGGTTTGTCACCATCCCAGCTTCAACCATTGCAGTGAAGTTGGTGTCAATACTGCATTTCAACTGTGGCCAAATGATTAAAACTTTAGAGATTGTCAAGGCCTAATAAAACTCATTATTATTCTGTCCATAATCGTATATGTCAACTCTGAAAGTTTACTGATAACTTTGCCTTTTCAACAACCACCTGCTCAGACCAATTTCTTTCGTGTATCCATATAACTAGCAGAGTCCTAAAAAAGAATAAGAGTGAGCTGTATTCCATGGATTCCTTCGAAATTCTGGAATATAGTCTAAACAGTATCCTCATGTACTTAAATTATTTAGTAACGTTTTTTTCTTTATAAATATGAAGTTAGTCATCTATTTATCATTGTCAGTAGCATCCAGCTACAAAAGTTCTAACTCACTAAGTTTTATATTGCAGGTGTACAATTAATTTTCATCAGAAGATAAGGTTTATCTGTTCATTTGAGTATTGAAGATTTTGGAAATGCGCATCTTAGCTGCCAAAAAAAAGCCATATTGTCTCAGCCTTGTCCAGTATGCTGAACTTGTTTTGTTGCTATGATCTTAGGAAATATGACTACGAAAACTATTTATGTTCACTGCTCCTTCCTGGTTCAAAATGTGGCTTTGCATTGGCTCTGAGGGCTTTTAACATCGAGTTAGCTCAGGTACGTATACCCTTTTGACTCATTTTTGTCTTTTGCGCTTCTTAGATATGCGACCGCACCAAAAATAAAGAGCAGGCCAAATACCGATTTCAGTTTTGGAAGGATATTGTTGAATACTTGTTTAGCAACTCTGACAGCTTCACACACTACCACACTCCGCTTGAACAGGAGCTTAAAGAGGTAATGTTCTAACATTTTTTATTCATGTTTCCTTAGTCACTTTCAAACCTAGTGTTATCGAAACACCGCTTTTATCAGTTAATAGATTCAAGAGTTTGTACCTGTTTTCATTAAAATTGTAAACCCAGTAACTTTCTATCGCAGGAGAAACATTTCAATGAATTTTCCTTTATTACATGCAAAGCAGCTGAGACATATTTCGATAACGCTTATACTCCAATTCACTGTTTGTTATCTGAGGCCTATGGTAAATGACTAGTATATCCTTTATTTCCTTTGTTTCAGATTGCAAAATTTAATTATAAACTTATGCATGGGTTTTTATTTAGAGAAATGTATGCTTATGTAACTAGGGGATGACTGAAGGTAAGATGAAAACCTGGGTCGCGATAGAACTTGAACTGTAAGCTTCCAGGTTATCGACAAAGTGGTCTATTGACTGACCTACGAGAATTAGTTGCTGTAACACTTTTAAGTATACGACATTAGATTTGTAAGTTGTGTAGACCTCTGAGATATTAAAACTGTTTTAAGATGCATTATTTAAACACGGAAAGTGGGTATTGAATGGCTATCTTAATTTAGCTAAATTCAGCCTACATAGATGTGCAAAGATGACTCACCTAGAGGTGGATTCAGTCAGCGTTTAGTCGAATGCATAAAACTAATAGTCCTAGCAGAGTTTACAGTACTGTTCAGGTCCATAAACCAGGTTGTCTCATTAGATTGATAGTTGACTTCATGAATACTCCAACATATCAACATTTGAATTACTTGGCATCGATATTGTTCTATTAGGAATCGTTCAAATTCTGGACTAGTCAACTTCTACGAGTAAAAACTAAGATTGAGCGACCTGCATATAAAAGAGGATGAGAAAATGATAAGTTTTGACATAACAAGCCTTTGGACTAAAATACCGATCAATATGGCAGTGGACGCAGTTATAAATCAACTAAACATTGACTCATAATTTACTCATAGAACTAAGGTATCGGTTAATGAGATCACGTTAGGCATACAGTTTTATCTGACCTCCAGTCTTCAAGTTTCAGGACAAAATATATGGACAAAGAAGGAGAAGCAATGGAATTACCTAAATGGCCAACCGTAGCAGATATATTTATGGCCAGTTGAGAGCACGACTTTACGAACATTTAATTACGCACTCAAGATATTTTGTCGATATATGGATGACACATTTACTGCTTTTTTTCATGCAGATAAACTTAGTAACAGATGCAATTCAGTTCACTTGCTAGATAGAAAGTGAAGAAGGAAAATGATTTATGTTGAATTGTGAAGGAAAGCGAAGAACAAACGGCGGTTTAGACACCACCGTCTATAGAAAACCACCACAGGCAAATAGTATCTAGACTTCATCTCATCCAATGTCAGTTAAGGCAGGTTTAGTCAAGTGCCTAAATAATAGAGCTAGAAAACTCACTAGTCACTGCAAGAACTTAAATAAAGAATTGAAGCATTAATAATCATCCTCTGCAGTTTATTAAGAAATTCATACGAACGAAAATTAAATAATAACAGTAATACGAATACGAATAATAGCAGCAACACGAGTAAAAATAAGTTCAAAGCCTCCATTGTGTTACCACATAAAGACGAAACATCAAGAACTTCACATAGGATTCTCAACAAGACTAAAATCAGGATGGCATCAAAACCTACAAACTCGCTCAAATATAAGCTTTGTTGGCTTAAGTATCTAGTAGATCCAGTTGAACAAAATTGTTTGATCTGCCGAGTTTCATGCAATGACTATGAGGTCAAGTAGTACGTAGGTCAAACTAGCCGATCGAGGCTAGTTCGATTATCAGAACGTAGGAATTTAGTCAAATGTAGAATGATAGACCCCGATAGGATCAGTAATCTAGAAAAAAAGCTCGGCTATTGCAATGTATGTATTATCACCCAAATACACAATAGAGTGGGATAAAACCACTGTACTTAAGTCCAATATAATTAGGTGGAGAGAGATTGGTTACTCAAATCTTTGTTCAGTTAATCAACACCCAACATATGTGGTATTAGTGACCAAACACCTATACCAGAGATGTAGGAAATTTTACTACCATAGAAGAACAAAGAATATAAGGTGATAGGACCATAAAAATCAAATGGCAAAGGCTGTGTGATAACATTGATATGACTATGAGAAATAACTTATGGTCGAAACGTCATTAAATATATAATGTCATACCATTGTGTACCATATCAAATGTCCATACTTAATATAGAATTACATTCTAGCACAGTGCCCAAGTCTTACACTTAATTTAGTAAAATTATACTTATAATGGTCGGTTCAGTGATACCGAACTACTCAGGCCTGACTTAATGAGATAAAATGGAATTTTTTGACTTGGCAATTGATAGAAAAGTGTTCAGACCACTAAGGTGTAACTGCACCTAATATCTGGTCGCTTACAGATGCTCTCATACTGTCAAAAACTAGAGACAGGTTTTATAGTCGTGTTGTGCACTTGAGGTTTCTTATCAGATGTACATTTTTTTAATTATCTGTTCAATGTTTACTAATTGGACCGTTTGCTGAGACTTAATTTCAATTATTACACTGATTTCATTTTGTTGTGACTGTGCAAACATCCTTTTTGTTAGTGAGATTCACTAGGTCAGGATAATACTTGGGCAGTAATAATTCATACATTAAGTCGTTATTCATTCGATAAGAACATGAAAATAGCTCACTTTGATGATCTGTTTTTATCATAACCTTACAGTAGTGACAGAAAGGTATATTACGTTACTTAGAATGCGAATAATTCCATAGTTACCATTTAGATATTTTTGGTGTTAAAATTATTGTGGTTTAGTGCAGTTTTCATCGACGACCTCCACATAAGGAGCAAACTTAGTAGGGCTTCTGATAACTGTTAAGTATTAATAAATAACGCAGTACTGCTGGATTAGAGGTTGCACTACAAAGTTAAGTTTGGAATTCGACTTAACAAATGGTTGACCTTTATTGAGTTGATTTCACACTTTATGAACTGTTGTTTCCTCACAAAGTTTTGTTTTAAACTGATAACTATTCCTTTGTAATTCACTAAACTACTGTTCCCAAAACAGTTTTGCTACAAACTTTGCGTTGTGTAGATTCTAGCATGTTATCCTATATTCTTTTTTGTCCTGTTTTTGAAACACAAGCAATCCTAATTCATGCATAAAAAACTGTCTTCCAGATGAGACACCCCGCTACTTACACATTATGTAGTATTGTTCTCATAAGTATCTTATGGTTCCCACTTCCTTCAGCGAACTGCGGGTTTCCCACTATTGGTCTTTCTTAAAAGATCGTTACTCAGAAAACATGCACTTATTTATGTGTAGATATATATAACTATCGAACTGGTTAAAACCCATTATAAGCGACTATTTTTAATGCGTTTCTCTTCATTCATCATAAGTTTTACTGTGAAACGTTATAGAATGTTAGATCGTTATTCTCGCTGTGATTCAAGGAACCTTTGCAACACATTGTTCCGTTTTGCAGTGGTCTGTATACAATTCAGATAGTGCAGTGTCATACAATTTCTTCGTATTTGCCCAGTCCTATTTGTATATTTTGTATCTATTTAATTTCTCATTTTCTATATTCAATAATAGGCTTCGAGATGACTACACTAAGCCCATTGCTCAGTCATTTAGGAAAAGCACAAGGTATGGCGAATATGTTACGAAGTTCTGTTTTGTTGGCTCAGCATAAAAATGTTCTGTTGTTTCCTCTGGATTTAATAAATCAAGTATGTTGACCGTTAAAAACATATTGGGAAAATCACCTCTCTGTGTATTTATTTTTAATCGTGTATGTGTAACACTTTTATTGACTTGGGAGCCATGTATTATGTGCAAAAATTCCATAGCTTCTATTTCGAAGACAAGGTTAGTTTACCTCAGTGTAGAGTATATGCATAAGATTGTTGGTGAACATCCCTGTGAAGTTAATTCTCAGTTTCAAAACTACTGAAAAACAGTGCATCCACCTTTCACCAGTACAGAAGCTTTTTCTGGACTGATGAAGTCCTCACTCCACGTTGTTTGTGTTCGACTAACTATACCTTCATATGAAAATAATTCATTAGAATAATGTTTATGATATGATAATATGGAAAGATAATTGATCCATTTTATACCGTACATCTTTTGGAATAGATGCAACAGTCTAATTATTATGATAATTTACTTGGTTATGGCTAGCAGAGAAATGCAGGACGCATACTTCATCCTACTTGGGACTCGTCAGCTGGATGTATCTGCACACTAGTGAGGGATGTTGTTCCCACTGAGACCTCAACCTCGTACCCATCGCTTCAAACGCCAGAGCGTTATCCATTGAGGTGTAGGTTTATCCTGTCGGCCAGTCCCAAGTAGGACAGGACGCGCGTACTGGATTCCCCTGTAGTCGAAACCAAGTAAATTATCATAATAAATATTCACGCAATATCGAGGCGTCCGCATGGGAGCTCATATCCGCATAGAGGTCGAAAAATTCAACCCAGTATAACAACAGAGAATTATAAGTATATCAACAAAATCTAACTATTACTTCGACGAGTTGTTTTCCTGTACACACAAAGAATTCTAATGACTATAGCTGTATACATAAAGAGAACTGTTCTCAAAATGGTTAGAATTTTCCCCTTATCACATGACTATTCATATGTAGTCTAGAAATGACGACTACATCTGTATTTATTTTTAAGCTTTTAGATAATTTAATGAAATACACTACTGAACAACATGGTCAGTAGTTTATTTCGTTAGATCATCACTATTTTGTGGAGCTGTGGTTCATAAATGTTTGATAGTTGACTTTCAACCAATGGTTAGCAGGTTCGAACACCGTCTCCACCCATCGAGGTTTGGACAGTTAGGTAGTGTCATTAACCTTCACACAGTAGGTGTGGTCCATTACCAACTGCACAGATGGACACAAGGTTACTGAGTGCATATCAGTTTATTTTCGTCAGAGGTGTGATCTTGGCTGGAGGGTGATTCTTAAACTCTATTGACACTACAGTTTTGACAGTCTAAAAACTACCCAGTCGTGAGAAATTTCAACGTGAACCGTGCCAATCTGTAAATAATTTGCAAAGTGATGGTCTTATCTTTAGATAACTGTCCAAATGCGGTCATGGAACCATAAGGTGGACGGTTGTGAAGTTGAATACAGAATTCGAGGCAAGGAAGTTTCGTCTAGTCTATCAGCTTATGAACTTGACTGTAACGCATGATGAACGACGACCAACTGTGATGTGAGGTGTTGAATGGTGTAAGTATGGGAGAGCTCAAGTGGAACTAGACGTGATAAGATATGATAGCATTTTACAATGTTACTGACTGTTTTTTTTTTGATGTTTTGGTTTTCTGACTGACAACTTTAAGGTTATGGGAATAAGTGCAGGTAATCACTAAAATATGTTTTTCTTTTGAAAAATCGATTGTGATGGGACAGATGTATTAACTCTATCTGTCATTCAGCATAGAATACCGTAATACTTTGTATTCATATCCTTTTTGTCTGTTATGTACTTCCATTTCCGTTAGTTTCTTCTTACTGTATTGTTTTGAAGTGTCAGAATGTGAAACAATGTACTTTATACGATGTTCTAAATCGTAAATCGTTTAACACTAGTATGCTTTACTCAAGCATATTTCCAAATGTAACTACCTTATTGGAAAAATGTAAACTTTCCAGTGGCAAGAGACTCCAAGTGATATAGTGTAGAATCAACGACAATTGCGTGGATATATCTGCATACTGTCTTCATGTTAATCGTATTACCTAGATCCATTATTGTTTCATTTCTTCTTATTCTCTTTTCACGACTTCTTACCACTTTCGACTTTCTTCTTTATTTCTTAATCTTTCATCATGATGCCTTCTATCTTGATATATCGATGTAAAATGTGGTAGTTTGAATCCATTATCCAGTAATACCAGAACCCATGTTGGTATTAACTGTCTGACTAACTGAATTCTTTATTTCTGTTAAGTAGATATGATATTCCGTGTGAAGTGCTTTTCAGTTTTCTTCATACATTAAAATTTGTTCGTAAATATTTCTTTATATAAACTGATGAATTTGAACCAAATAATTTCATAAAGTCATGTGAATTAACCAAATAATAAGTAGCATGTTACACTTTTTTGTACTCGGTTGTGAAAGTAGATCAGGTTTATGTTTTAGTAATTGTTAGTCGAAGGACTAAAGAGTCGAAAGCATAAGTAGATCACTTATGAGTTCAATAGTTACTTGTTTACATTTTTGTAGTTCAATACAACTGTAATACATAATAAAATTTTCTTAGATTATATGGATAGAACGAAAAATAATTTCATTTCAACTTTTACTGTCAACTTTGGTTTTAATTCTATCAATATATGATCTATAATGCTGTTGTTTACCCTTTATTTTCTACTTTTCAGTAGATATCAGTATTTCAAGATATTATAAAGTCCATTTTAATAAGCTAATCAACTTTTTTATTTATTTTATTATCTTATCTATTTTTCCTCTCTAGTATAATTTAACACAAGAATATATACTTCATTTTCTACGTAAAGATGCTACAGTAACAAGTTCAAATAATGAAGCTGTAAAATTATTAACACGTGATATTGCCTCCTTAAGTCATTTTCATGCTAAACGTGTTTCTAAGTTGGCTTCTCAACTTATTATACAATCATTATCAACATCAGTATTCAATTCATCGAAATTAAAAGAAAAAGATTTAGAGCAAAAAAATTAATACAGAATGTATTACCAAAATTATTACTTCCTTTAATATCTGTAAATAATTATTTGAATTATTTAGGTTATACTGCAAATTTTGACTTACATCTTAATTCTAGATATACTAATAGTTTATTACCACTTCAACTATCCTGGAATGCATGGCGAAATAGAATACCTAATGGGTTAAAAGATTAACTTTCATTTCATTCTTTCTCCTGAAATCTACATGTATATCAGTTTTCACTTCTCTCAATCCCTTAAATAGATAAAAAGAAGAGTATCAGTGGTGTATATATTACTTTTTTTAGTCAATCATTATTTCAATGTGTAATAAGAACTATTCAATTTATCATTATATACGGTGTCATTATATGGAATTCTTAAAATTTATCAAACTTTTTCTATTGTATTGCTTAATTAGTAGCAAATAAGAATGTCTAACATGTTAAATAGAGTGTTGTTCATAATTTGATCGGTAATTGTAATAATCAGTTAACTAAAAAGTGAAATTTTAGCAAATTAGTGATCCATTCTCCCTCATATTTAAAACGATATTCATTTCCGCATACTATAGTGCAATGAGAACATGTCGTCAAGATGAACTGATCATTTTTTGCTTTTCCGTGATTTTGGATATTTTACCATGGACGTTCCTCTACCTGTTTACGTGACCGTATCATAAAGATTGCTTAGGCTGACTTTACAAATGCGATCAAATATGTTGAAGAGTAAACAATATATGACAATTATTGTTATTATTATTTGTCCCTTGGGTTCCTGGTGGAACATAGGGATTCGGTAGCACGTCGCCATTTCGCTCTCTTCTACGTAGTCTTCTCAACCTGGCTCCACGACTACCAACAAGCTTACATTTCTTCCTCACACCATCTCCTCCATGTCACCCCCAGCTGGGACGCCCAACTTGTCGTTTCCCATTTGGATTCCATTTGAGGGCCTGGCCTGGCGCGTGATGTCCCCAAACCGTCTTCTCAGTGTATTCCCAATCCAGTTCATCTCCACTTTCTTCTGCATATTTGTTGGGTGATAAATTCTTGGTTGGTTCATTGCCAGCCAGAATTCCTTGTTGCTTATTCTTATCATTCTGGCCATCTTATCTTTAATATCGAGTGGACATAAGCGGCAGCTGTTGATGAATGTCTGTAGTTTGTTGGAAATCCTTTTCGTGACACACCTAGTTTCCGAACCATATAGCAGCACTAACTTAACATTGGTGTTGAAAATCCGGGTCTTATTCTTTGTGCTGAGTGGAGTGCAGTAGATCTCCACATTGATTTCAGGTTAATGAAGGCCTGTCTTGCTTTTCCGATTCTAGGTTTGACATCCTCAGTCTGTGCCTATGCCGCCTGTAGTTGAAATAGTGCTGCCTAAATAGGTGGAAGAATCTACTTCCTTTAGGTTTCTCCCGTTGATGTTGATTGGTATTTGTTGTTGGTCTGGTATCTTCATCACCTCTGTCTTCTCTACGTCCACCTGAAGGGAGTCCTGTCTTCACTAATTCGCCTCTTCTGTCAACTTGTTGGCTTTTGCCTGTAGATCTTCGTTTTTGTGCGACAAGATATTAGACATAAATTATCATCGGTGAAATCCAAATCTTCTTCTGGGGTCTTTTCATCGGTCCACTCAGCGTATGCCTATCTTCACGCTCCTCACAGTTTCTTGCATGATCCAGTCCAGTTGACCACAATCAGGAAGATTATTGGTGATAGTAGGCGGCAACCTTGTCTTACTCCTGTCTTCACTTCAAAGACATCACTGAGCTTTCCATTATGAATCACTTGGCGTGTAACATCATATTGCATGTAGCTGTTGAATGAGGTTGATAAAGGTTTGCGGCACTAAAACCGTAGTGTTGAAGCAGTTCCCAAATTATTTCTCGATCGATGCTATCGAAGGCCTTCTCAAAGTCGAAGTTGAGGTAGACTGGAGTTGACTGTCATTCTATGCTCTGTTCTACGATGATGCGTCGCTTCTCAATTTGTTCGATACATGATTTGTTCTCCCTGAAGCCAGCCAGCCTGCTCCGATCGTAATTTTGAATCTAGTGCACCTTTTAACCCCTCCAGGATGATATGGCTTCATATTTTGCTTGGTGTGAACAGGAGCATGATTCCGCACCAGTTCTTGAGAAGACATAGGCCACCCTTTGGAAGTATGACAGGGTAGCCCTTCTTCCAATCAATCTGCAGGTACCTTTCCTTCCTTCCAAACCTTCTGCAGTAATGGTATGAGCATGTCCGCTATTGTCTGTGCATCTGTTTTCTGTGCTTCTGGTGGGACTCCATCTGGTCGTGCTGCTTTCCCAGGTTTCAGCAACTTTACGGCGTTCAGAACTTCAACTCTGCTTTCGTCGGAGGGCTTGTGTTCACTGGTAACTCTGTGGCTAGGTTGTTGATTGTATTTCTGGACGAAGTGCAGGTGGTGGTGGTCGATTAAAGATTTTTTTTGAAGTGGTCAGCCCATCGTTTCCTTTATTTCTCCTCTTTAGCGGTAAATAAATTTCCTTCACTATCTTTCAATGGTTCCATCTGTGTTTATCTCTCCCACCCCAGATAGTAACCTGGTTATTCGATATAGTTTTGCCAGGTCTCTGTCTCTCTTACCTGCAGCCTGTTCTGCTTCACTTGCAAGTGTGTCATAGAAGTATCTTTTGTCTTTCTGCGCACTCTTCTTCACTTCTTTGTCCAATGTTTTATAGGTTGTGTTCAGTTCCTCTTTTCGTTGTTCATCCTGGCACTGCACTGAACTGGTTTATCTTCTGCTTCACCATCTTCCTCTCCCCGCTCTATCGGCTTCCATGTGTCCATCGAGATCCATTCCTTGCCTTCTTTCTTCTTCCTTCCTAATACGGTTATGCAGGTTTCCTTCCATATCTCTTTCAAAAAGTTCCAGTGTTCTTCGAGGTGGGTTTCCTCGGGGATGCTGCTTAGCCTCCCATTTTTTCCTAGTGGCTGGCTGACGTGAAGATGTCCTTTGTAGTTTCCTCCTTCAGTTTCTGTTCTGGGTGTTCAACTAAGCTGTGGTCTATCACCAGCTTCCTTGATTTCGGCTTTCAACTTGATTTTGAAGGTAGGTTCCTTGCACTACATACTAAGTGGTGTGAACCACATACATCTGCTTCCCTTATTGATCTTGTGTCCAGTAGACGGCGTCTTCACTTTCTTCAGATTGAGATGAAGTCGATCTGATTTTTAGTGTGTTCATCTGGTGAAATCCATGTCGCCTTGGAAATATCCTTGTGTTTGTACACAGTGCCTCCAAACACCAAATCATTAAATGCGCAGAAGTCTGAAAACAGTTCTCCATTCTCGTTCATTTGACCCAGTGCTTCTCAACCTAAGATCAGTTCTCATCCCGTGTTGTCCGCTCCCAGTTTGACACTCTTGTCACCCATAAAAATTTTGATTTCATTGTCGCCGTCTGGGTTGGGGTCTTGTCCATTACTGATTGCAGTCGTCTGTATAATTCCTCCTTCTCTTGACCTGCATTATTTGTAGGCAACAAGCATTGTATGATTGTGACTTTCCTTCCTTTTGAGTTGAATCTTGTTGTCATGATCGTGGTTCCCACCTAATGAGAGCCTTCGTTGCTGTTGGGGACATCATGATAGCCGCTCCAAAACTCAATGTGTTGGTGATTGTCGTCCGGGTGACAATACCGATGTAGGTTATTGACTCTCCAGTTAACAGTTTGGATAGTTCACTTCCATTCCATCTGCTTTCGCAGGTTCTTCTATGCTGTATCTCCTCATTTCTTTTGCAATCTGAGTAGCCTTGCCAACCAGCTTCAAACATTGTTCGGACATTCCATATCCCCATGCTTGCTTTTGATTTCCTCGAGAGAAGAGAAGACACATCGGCCATTTGGCTTCCCGAAGGCTTCCACCAACCGGCGTCATTTCGTCTTCGCGATTTCAGCGAAGAATAAGTTTATTTTTTATATTTCCTTTGTACTTTGGGGTTTCTTTAGCGATTAGATTTATTTTCCGTGGTGGGATCGCTAGCCCCACACCCAAACTTTCCTCTTTATCCGGACTTAGGACCGGCTAGTGAACTAGCAAACTAGGCGAGGTTACTCACCAGCCCGGTGTGCAGTTAACGTGGATATTAGTATTGTAATAAGCTCTCACACACTTAAGAGTTACAATAATGGCCATACTGACATTAGATAAATCAGTCCACACAATGACGTTTTATTTGCCTGTTTCCTGTGTGTTAATTAGACTTTTTAGCAGTTTTTGATTGTCATTTTTGGTCCAACCGTTAAAGAAGAACTTGTAACGCATTCGAAATCTTACTCTATCACCTAGCTTCGATTTTTATTCTGCCTCACGTTTTCGTTGTCAAGCTCTGTAGTTTGTCAGTTATCTTCGATTATTAAATGTAAGTACATTCTGTGTACTTGCTCATATTTTTCTCCTCCTAGTTGAAAGTCATTGCATTCCTTTTACATATAAGCTGATAGCGATGTTCGATAATTTTTTACCTACTTAGTATGATGTGCATGTTACACACATATATGTAAATAATTCTCCAAAATCAATAGCGTAACGTTCGATGACAATCAACATCGATGTTGGTCTTCATAGCTCTAGTTAAATGTTCAAGCTGAAGGAAAATACATAATCAAGCATCCACTCTATTTGGTAGGTTGTTGTGTGGCACTGCATTCCTCGTATATGCTCCTGTAGCCAGTTAGTCTAAGCGTCTCGGTATTTTGACGCAGTTCATCAAATATACTGTTTCTGCCTGACTATGCTGCTGTGATCTTTCGTGGTATGGCAATTGTTGGTATTCTACAAGTACTAGAAATTAGTGATCATCTTCTGCATCGGAAAAGATCTGGTAAGTATAATTCTTAAGGAAGTTAACTGAGATGAAGACTTAAGAGAAATTTTGTGCTAGTTTACACTCATCAATATCATACGTGAAACCTACAAGGAATGCATATATAGTTGAGATTTTGATCCTGAATTACTGAAATGAGATAATCTAACACTAGGCTGTGACTGACTGGGTTCTGCACACAAGATGGCGTGACTTAGTTACTTAACCACATTGTAGACGTGATTGATATACTTCGGTTAGTCATAAAGATATGTCAGCTTCATGGGTTACGATGATGTTGAACAAAATTTGATGCATAAACGATCGGTTTATTAGCATGTTGTAGATGAAATGAAAACAGAACTAACTGACCTATCTAGTCTTCAAGTTTTTTTAAATTTTAGCTCTTATAGAATACATCTTAGTTGACAACTCAGCATTTGGCAACTTACTTCTCTTCGAAGAAATAATCATCTACGTGACAATAAAAACAGTTTCTTATCAGTAAATAAGTAATAATAATCGGTTTATTCCAAACAATATGTATAACAGTATGGAATTCTCAGCATGTAATTTTTCAACAAATTCACTCTCAGAACAACATTTCCTGACGAAATAGTTATTGCATAGGAATGATGTTAATAATTACAGTATTGAAGGCAATAATATGAAATAGCCAGCGGGTTCTGGATGGGCGTCCGATCCATACTGAAGAATTAACAGAAATGCAAGCGTTATTTTGGTGATGGTGGTTCATTCAGACGGTACAAAAATCTGCAACTCAAGCTAAACGTCTGGTGGATAGAAATATGATATACTTTTGTGCACCGAAAAGTCCATTTACACATACTGTAATATTTTTTCCTCTGCTTTGTTATTGACTTGAGAAATGGAGAGTTGGAAACAGTTTAAAAATGTACAATAAGTACATGATACGTTCAAAGGACATATTTAAATGATTAAAACAAATTAAAAGGAAAGAATTTGATGAAAAATGTTCGATGAACAAATTTAGTAGCCCAAATTTCAAGCAGTCGCCCAGAACAATGTAAAATTAGATTTCCATAGGTTAGTCACTTATCACAATAAACTGTTAGTAAATAATCCCTAAAATACATTTTGTCTCAGATGTAGTGTTATTGAAGAGTTCTGG